CTCACCCTCGCGCGCCGCCACACACACACCCCCGTCACCCCCACCCCACCCCGGGATCCGGCGGGTGGCAGGTGGGGCACACACCCTCCCGGCGGGGGGCAGCCAAGGCCTAGGCCGGGGGGGACGGGGGGGGAGGACACGCTAGGGGTTCCAGCTTGACCGCTGTGAAAGTATTTCTGGGCATTTTCCAGCTGCTTTGCTCCAGAGCGCTCTCTCGCACGCAGACAGCCCCCCCATTCCCTCCTTCTCTATCTCTCGTCCTCTCTCCCTCTCCCCTTCTCTCTCTCCCTTTCTCCTCCCCTTCTCTCTCTCTCCCTTTCCCTCTCTCTCCTTCTCCCTCTCTCTCTCTCTCTCCGCCCCCCCCCTCTCGTTAGGGGACTGGGAAGCTCGGCTGCCGGCGCAACAACGCCACTCAGTTGCAGTTTCGAACACTTCCTTTCTCTGGAGTATCGCAGCCAGGAGGGGGAAAAAAAGAAAGAGCAAGAGGAACTGGCCGGCCACAAGAGCTCGCTGGGGCAAGACCCAGTCCCAGGAGTGCCTTGAGGGCAGCGGAAATAAATGCATGAGCTGGCCAAGCCAGCAAGCCCAGAGAGTCCCGTAGGCTGGTGCAGCGGCAGCACAGGCACCTTGTGGCTCCCGCGCTCTCAGCGGAGGTCCCAAAGCCTAGGCATCTGCATATTCACCAATGTACGTATGTGCACACCTCAGGGTTCGCAGGTGAATCCCCTGCGTTTGAACGCAGTTAGATACCAAGGCCTCAGGACGTGGGTCCAGGGTCCTGGGACTGGACTGCCAACCTCTGGGATCTCCAGACGCTGCCCCAATTCTACAGTTCAGCAAGGCCTAGAGAAAGGCTGGCTAGTCAGTGAAGTGCCATTGCTGGAATCTCACTACCTGGGTTGACACTGGTCAGATCGTTTTCTCCACTAAACCACTCTGAGTCGTGTGGGTGGCTTTTTACGCAGAGACTTTGGTCAGTCAGGAGTCAACCAGACTCCCAAAAGCATTTGCACCTTTAATGAATTAAAGAGCCTAATGGAACACCTCATTCCTATGAGAGAAAGAGACACCTGAAAAGAGGTCTTGTGTCTCTAGGATTCCAGTAAGGTAGGGCTGGGCGTTGGAAACTTCCAAGGAAAACATAAGTGATTTTCTGCAACCCAGGTGTTGAATCTGCAGGATGATGTTTAAGTTCTTTTTTGGAGTACACTCTACAGGTAGGAGAAAATAAGAATGATTGCGGAATGAACTGAGATAGACAGTGTTGTGTACAAGACATGCATGGGCTGGCAAAGAAGGGGAAAGTTGCCAGTTAGAAGTTTTGGCACCAGGACACCCAGTCAAGGGTGTTTCTGCCCAAAGATGAGAAATGAGAGAAGCTTGTGTTCTACTAACATGTCACTCTTTGCTTGAAAAATCCCCATTGCTAACACTGCCTCAACAGACTAATGAAGTGTCACCATTCACTTAAGCAAACGTCTCCAGGTGGAAACTTCTGTCCTTCAAAACTCCTAAAACCTGACATGTTGGTGATATTGGTGACCCACAATTCTTTGGAGGTGCTAAAGGACAGGGAACTACTGACTCATACCCTACCTCAAATACCTGCTAATAATCATCTTGCCCTCCATGACTTTCTCTCCTGCCCCCCCCCATTAACCGAAATTAAGGACAGTAACAGGTGTCATGATGTCTGAGTACAGAAATCAGAGAAAGCTGCATTTTTCACAGCTATCATTTTCTGTCAAAACAACAGAACATTTTTATGTTCTTGATTTTTATCAAGGGAGGAAATAATACATCCCAAAGGCTAAAGTTTAGAGTTGCTTATTTTTAAAGCCTTAGTTTGTCTTTACTGCAGTGGGATTCAGAAACCGGGTAAGTGGCCCAAATTCAAAGATGAAAGTGGAAAGCACAGCAGGCTCTCAGGTTTGGGGTGTCAGACTACGGGGAGCCACCCTTGGATGCTCCTGACTTGAGGGAAAACTGTACCCAAGAGGCACATGATCTGCATGGTGAAGGACACTAAGACTCAGAGCAACCCTAAAGGATGAAAATTCTAGCCCAATTTATATTTTATAGGTTAGTTCAAGTTCCTCAGTGATCCCCCAGATCGTCCAAAAAGGCCACCTGACATTTCTGACCCCTGACTCCCTACTTCACAGGCCATACTGTTGTAACCATTTCCTTGCACTTCCTAGTTCAAGTACCCACCAGATATGGCTGTCATTTAATTGTTTTATAAATGACAAAAATATATATACCTGAACCATGAAAAGGGAAAATCTAATTCTTTTCTAGTCCTTTATCTTTAAAAGATTCCCAGATCTTTTGTATTAAAGGTTCTTACAATCACTGAAGTAAAACAAGACTGAAATAATTTAAATCAAAAATCTCTTTGACGAGGAATTGCCCATTTTTGAATTATTTTCAAGACTCTTTTTAAAATGTCCGACAATACACAGAGCATATAATGAAGTCATCTACAGAATATCTGCAATACTGGGCATCAACTTGGAAAACAGTCAATGCGTTATGCAAAATCTGCTTTGGTCACTGGGCCATTGGTTAGGAGGCACAAAATGTGGCAGTGATAGATTATCTTAACCTTTTCAGTTTAAATACTGTTTGTTCAAATCAAAGGTTCTCAAATCAATGAAGTTTGAAATACAAGGTAAAAATAGGAACTGTTATTTGAATTATGCATTGTGTATATTTTAAGTTAAATGCCATTGGCAAACTCTCAGATGTTTAATCATGTGCAATCTGGGAAACACAAATATTTAATTTCACACTTTTATGTGTTCTTTTTCCTTCCATCTTTTATAAAACTCAGCCCCACAAATAGGGAGCTAACCTTTCATATGACATTGTTAGTTTTTCTCAGCACATTTTTGTAGATTACGCTTTCAATAAAATCTTGCAACATGAGAAGTTGTCCTTAAAGAAAAACTTTAGTGTTCTGCGACTATTGGTGGTGGTAAATTTTTTTCTCTTTCTTTACTAACTGAATCAGAGAATGTTTACTATCTCAATGTCACAGCTGCAGTTTAAAAAAAATCTATTAAAGTGTTTAGAAGAAATACAAACAAGTAATACTTTAAAACTTCCTTCTCTCTACTGCTAGCCTAACTTTGTAAAATTTGCTTCCTAACTTGTATCTCGGAATCTCAACGCATTTGCATTATAATGCGTTTAAGATGAATACTTAACAGCACGGAACAGACTAGGGTTTCATGCTGCAGATCCCTGTTGTAACAGGTGACATGATAACACTATTATGTAGAATTGCAAGTCTACAGCTACACGTGAAAATTGCTCCTATTCTGTTTGGAAACAAATGATCAATCAGCCTCCAGTGATCAATTGCCCCCTGGCTGTCCGTCAGCGCGGGTCCGTGCTCCGCCGGCATTGAGAAAATTCCGCTGGAAGGGAATGAGGATCCCAAACTTTGCGAGAACACCTTGTGCGGCGTCTCAGACTTCGCTGCAACTCCTCTGCTACTCGGGCGGAGGCTCCGGATTTGGGGCCAGGCAGAGGGCAAAGGATGATTTCACTCCGCCAGGGCACTAGAGTGCTTTTCAATCTGGATTCTGAATTATGTTTTCTTCCTCTTCTGTAGAACTAGGGGCAGGCAAAGTGAGCCCTGGCGATGTGCATGTGTGTTGTAAGACACCAAACAGGAGGCAAAGTGAGTCCCACCCAAGCACCCCGGGGCGGGGGCACTAACCCAGCCCAGGCGGAACTACTCACCGCTGCTGGTAGGAGGTGATGCCCTGGACGTTCTGCGGGGTGCCGTTGGCCGCGGCGCCGGCCCTTCCCATGCCCGCGCCGGCCGGCACCCCCGCGGCCGCCCCGCCGGCCGCCGCGGCCGTCACCTGCACGCTGAAATCCGGAAAGATTCGGATCATCGCCGCGGCTGCGGCCCCCCGGCGCGGCGGCTCTGGGCTCGGGCTGGCGGGGGCTCGGGCTCGGGCTCGGGCGGCGGCAGCAGCAGCAGCGCGAGCAGCGGCGGCGGCAGCAGCGGAGCCAGGCACCAGCCTGCAATCCCATTAGTGAGCCGCGGCCACTGTGCGCGGCGGAGAGGCGCTTTGATGTGCGCGCAGCGGGCTAGGGGGGCCGCGAGCGCGAGGAGGAGGTGCGGGGGGCGTGCGAGGGACTTGCAAACAGCAAAACGTGTCAGGGTGGGGCCTTTTTTCCCTTTTGGGGGGCGGTGGTGCTCCCCCCTCTTTCCAGGATGTTGCTCTCACTGGCTGCTCCGGCTGCGCCGCGCGAGCCCAGCTGAGGGAAGAAGGGAGGGGTGGCGGAGGAAGGATGCACCGAGAGGCTTGGCGAGGACTTGGCCGGTGCGAGGGAATGACGGGCAGCGGAGGGTGCATTTCTTTCCCGCCCCACTCTGTACACACACACACACACACACACACACACACCCTGCGCACTTCCGACCCAAAGTGCAAGACTGAGGCGCGCTCTCCCCTCCTTTCTCTAGAGAAATAACCACCATCCAGGCAGGCTCGCGCCTCCTGCGGCTTCCAGCAACCTGGAATCCAGCCCGCGTGTGCAGGAATGGGGGCAGAGAGCCTCCCTTCCTAGCTGGGACCCCTTTTTGCCCATCTTCTGCACAACAGGCAGCGCGAGGGTTGCCAAGCGCAAGTTGGGTTCCAGGAGAACTTGTACTCAAGGAGGAGGGATGGTGTGCAAAGGCGGGGGTGGGGGGGAGAGAAGCCGCTTTTGTGCAAAGGGGAGTTTGTTCCCTTTATTAGAATGGACTCTTCCCGTTCCTGGTGGGCGGGCGGGGTGGTCCTGGACAAAGTTGTGAGGTGGGCACTGTAGGTCTGGCCAGAGGGATCCGAGAGTGCCCCATGACCCACTTCTCTACGCCCCTTTTGACCGATGAAACGAATAAATTAACAGCCACAATTGAGGCGAACTCTGCAAATTCCAACCACCAGGGAAACAAAAAGAGAAAACACGTGCATTTATTCCTGGCCTCTCTCTCAGTTACTTCTCCACATTGTTACACCAGTGTTTCGTTAGGGGGGTGAGGAGGTATGTTTGTGGTTGGGGTGCGCCTTTTTAAGTGACAACTTACACTCCTCTCCAAGCTAGTGGGTGGGGGCGATGGGAGTCGATCGTTCCTCCACCCCCTCCCCTGGACCCCTGTCGTCCCACTTCCTCCTCTTTCTTCCGGCTTCAGAGCCAGGAGTGGACTTGCAGGCGGTGGGCGCAGTCCCCACTGGGATGCAGGGCTCTGGTTCCGCTCCTCTAGCGCGCGCCACCCTGGCCCCCTTTGCTGGTGTTGCTGGGGTTTCCCCTTCTCGTTCTCGCCTCCTTTCCACTCCCTGCGCGCCAAGGCCGGAGCCCCGCAGTCTCAGCTGGAGGACTAGTGGCCGCCGTGCCTTCAGCACGAACCCAAGTTGGACTAGGCGAAGCGTGGTGACCGCGGCCCCGCCGCCCCAGTCCTCGGCCAATAGCGCCTCGCCCGGCGAGGCACCTGCTTAACCCTTTGAAACTGGGGCGCAGCCGGCCAGCTAGGACACAGAGGGGGCAGGATCTACCCGCCGAAAGTTACCAAGGCCGACAGTGACAGAGGCCGCCCAACCAAGCGTCCCCGTACACGGTCTAGGGGCCAGACGCCTGCCCTCGCCGTAGTCCAGGACGTCCCCTCCTACACTGATGGCTCTCAGGAAATAGCCAAGCCTCACAAAGGCTAGTCCGTGGCCCCGCGGCGTCCCGCGCCTGCCGGGGCAACCTCTGAACTCCCCTAACCCAAGTCAGTTTCCGGAGGAGCCTCCCGCGCCCGGCAGCCGCAGGGAAACAGAGGGAGGGAGCCCCAGCTCTCGCTGGCCGAGCCCATGGCGCAGCTGCGTTTCCATTTTCCTCTCAAAGAAAATGCTTTGGACGGCAGATAATACCAGGAGATATGAAACTGCTTCGTCCCCCACGTGTTGCACGTAAAAAGAATTGTAATGAGCATCTGGGGCTTGTGCGAGGGATCCCATAAGTTCGTTGAAGACCTAACCGAGGTCCTGACTACCTCCTTCCCGGCAAAGGGTCGTTTTCTAATTTAATTTTCTTAAGATTCATTTTGGGGATACTTATGTTGAGTGGCCAAACGCAAGATCTTCGGACCGGGTTGAGACCGAGGGGGCTGTGGCTGGGCGGGTGGAAAGCCGCCGGGTCCGGATCTGCTGACAGAAGGGGGTCCTGGTCCTACGCGGAGCACAGCGGCGGGGCCTCGCGACTTGACTGGGATCTCTCTACTCTCCTTCCCCACCTCTCAGGCTCAGGGCGGGATCTGAAGAGATCTCAAATACCACTCACAGGCTCTGCGCAGGCTTTCCTGTGGTAAGAAATGGGAGTCCGTGCCAATTCTAGAAAGGCTGGGAATGTCTTAGGGGTTGGGAAAAGTTTCCTTCTCTGCACAGGTCAAGGCCAGCAGTACTGTAAGCCACCGGAAGCCCAACCTGTCAATGACTGATGAATGAAGCTAGAAATGAACACGATGTAGGCAGTGGCTGTCTATAAAGTAGCCTCTGTCTGAATTGCTGCCCACTGTGGTGTGGGGCTGTGCCTGCCACAAACGTCCAGGCCGGCTAGTTGAGGAGGCTTCCAGCAAGTGCCTCTTGCCTCCACGTGTTTTGGACTCCAGCAATGTAATGCAGTGTTCCAAGCTAGATCCTGCTGACCCAGAGGCTGTCCCAATGTGCCACATGAGACAAAAGAGGGAAAACGCCCTCTTTGGCCAAAACAGAACTTTTAGAAAATTATTTTGTAAATAATTTAAAGTCTGTAAGCACAATCAACAGTGAGTTATGTTTCCATACCACTAACACTTCTGCTCTTTGTTTCCATGGCCAGAGGAATTCTATGGCTAGAGGCTAGAAGTTACTTTTATTCACTACTTATTTTATAGACTAGTTGGGACTGAAATCTGTCACCCTCTTTCCTTTCTCTTTTGCGGAGGGGGGCAATTTTTTTCTTGGAAGCCCAAAGGACAGATTTTTTTCAATAGAAGAACTATGTGAGATCTATTTGTAAAACACTTAAAACTACATAAGCTGAAGCCTCTTTAACTATATACTATTAAAATAGTTTAATGAGCACATTCAACTAAGCTCTAAGCTACCAATTATCCACATTTAAGAGAAATCATATAGTGCCTGCCTTCCAAAATCTTTCTTTTCTAAAGCAAGAATATACAAAAGACTTAAAATGCATTTGCACAGTAGGTTGCCTTACCGTGCACGTTATGTCTGTTTGTTTGTTTTTGTTGTTATTGTTTGTTTTGGTTTAGACAGAAGTCTCACTTTATCACCCTCAGTAGGGTGCTATGGCGCCACAGCTCACAGCAACCTCCAACTCCTGGCTTGGGCAATTCTCTTGCCTCAGCCTCCCGAGTAGCTGGGACAGATGCCCACCACAATGGGTATTTTTCTGTTGCAGTTTGGCTGGGGCCGGGTTGGAACCCGTCACCCTCGGTGTATGGGGCCAGCGCCCTACCCACTGAACCACAGGCGCCATCCCATTTGTTTCTGTTTTTTATCCTGATATGCATGGTTTGGGAAGGTCAGTTGGCATTCATGAGAAACTAATTCCTTATTGGATCTGCTTATCTCCATGTTCGTTAAGGACCTTAAGGAAAATATAAGTTTATTCTCTCATTAGTAATTCAGATTTCATTACTCTGATCCTTCAGTTGAAATCTTTACATGCTGGCAGCTGTTTTGAAATATTTTGAAGGTTGCTTTGGCGTTCACCCAACCAACAGGGCTGCAGTTAGGACTAAACTGTACACTCTCTCATTTTATAGTTCCCTCCAAATCTACATTTTAGTGTATACAGAGAGAGAGAAAATGAGTCTGTGATGTTTTAACCCTGAGTACATGTATACTACGTATGTGTGTGTGTATATATATATATACACATTAGCACATATACATATGCAGCTGTCACAATTACATATTTAAATCTTCATCCTTGTTGTCAATCAATGTGGCTTTTGCTCATATAATAAAAATATCTATTCTCTGGGGATTAATTTCCACTTAAATGGTCTGGCTTTGAATTTTCACTATTTGCTGTCAGAGGCTGCCAATGACAGATTCTGAGGAGCCTATAAGCTTGGTTGTATCTAATTTTTGCTTTACTTTGGTCAGATATTTAGGAGGAAAATAAAACAATATACAGTGATCACAATGAGGTAAAGCAAACAGAAAATAAGTGAAATAAAAACATTATATGTAAAGGCTAAAAATAAGTAATGCTTTACTCTGTTGATGTTTTTATGACGTGATTACACAGCAATAAGGGATTTGTTTTCCTACAAAGAAACTTATGCAATAATTTACAACAATCTGACCCTTTATCATGGGAAGAGCCATGAACTGGTATTGCAGGTCCCTTCATATCCTGGGAGGAAGATTTTCATGCTATAGAGGGGTTAAATATTTGATTTTACCAAGCAATTTTCCAATGTTGCTCTTCAGTGCTATTGAATTCTAGCTCTTACTGATGAATTGTCCATGCTATTAATATATCTTGAGTCCATTCAAAAGCAAAACAATAATGTCTAAGGGGGAAAAAGAGTAACATAAACTTAGCAACATAGTCTTTCTTAATATTCCACATGAGAAACTAAGAGATTAAGAGAGAAGAGCTCATGCATTATTGCTTATAATATGTATATATGTATGTGTGTCCATCTATAAGAGTTCTAAGTATTTTTTCATATTAGCACTAATATTTCAAACACTGTGATATCTCAAGCTATTATGCTAAACTGATTCTCAGAGGGCTTTATAAATATATAGCTAGAAAGAGA